CTTAAGAACATAAGTACTTACAATTAATAAAGTGCTTCAGAGTTTTGTTAACTGGAACCTCAGTGGCAAAAACAAATTCCTATTGAGCAATGCAAAGTCACATTTACACTACAGGATTGATTCAATATAGTAAAGCTTACAGTCATATTTTTCTCTTTACAGTTACCTCTAGAAAACCAATTTTTATTTGTTAATTTTGATTGTTTGTGTTCTCATATTATGATCAAATAGTTTTCTGGGGAAATGAAATAATTTATTTGCTAAGTTTAAGTACTTTTAAGGGCAACAAAGAGATAATAGATACACTAGAACGTTCTTTTACTAGTTTCTAGTAGCAATGTGTGTTTTCACTGAAGTAGTTGAGGACTTATATAGGAATCATAGAATACAATACTAGGACTGGAAGGGACCTCGAGAGGTCATTGAGTCCAGTCCCCTGTCCTCATGGCAGGGCCCAGTACAGTCTAGACCATCCCTGATAGACATTTATCTAACCTGCTCTTAAGTATCTCCAGAGATGGAGATTCCACAACCTCCCTAGGCAATTTATTCCAGTGTTTAACCACCTTGACAGTTAGGAACTTTTTCCATGTCCAACCTAAACCTTCCTTGCTGCAGTTTAAGCTCATTGCTTCTTGTTCTATCCTCAGAGGGCAGGAAGAACAATTTTTCTCCCTCCTCCTTGTGATACCCTTTTAGATACCTGAAAACCACTATCATGTCCCCAGTCAATCTTCTCTTTTGCAAACTAAACAAGCCCAATTCTTTCAGTCTTCCTTCATAGGACATGTTCTCTAGACCTTTAATCATTCTTATTGCTCTTCTCTAGACCCTCTCCAATTTCTCCACATCTTTCTTGAAATGTGTTGTCCAGAACTGGACACAATACTCCAACTGAGGCCTAATCAGCACAGAGTAGAGCGGAAGAATGACTTCTCTGGACTTGTTCACAACACACCTGTTAATGCATCCCAGAATCATGTTTGCTTTTTTTGCAACAGCATCACAGTGTTAACTCATATTTAGCTTGTGGTCCACTATAACCCTAAGATCAACCCTTCAGAAGTAAATACAGAGGAATCTAGGTTGCACCGTTAGTATAGGCCTCCAAACCTCTGCTTAGAGCAGACTGAAAAGATGGATCAACTGTTAATTTTCTATTAAAAGTAACAATAAAAATTATTGTACTGTTCCAGAGTGGTGAAGTGTTTTCACTTGTATGATCAGTATTTAATGAACGACTGGAAAAAATGGCCTCAAACTGCCATTTAATTAAGTTTTCAAATAAAATTAAGAGATTGGACACATCACTGAAACATTCATTTCATCAATATAATATCTGAAATATTACTTGGTTACATTATCAGAGTATAGTACAAATGCATCAATAGTCTAAGTCCTGACTAAGCAAGGTGTATACGCATGCATCTAAATTTCAGTGCATGAGAAACTCCTCTGAAGTTAATCACAAGTTTAAGTACCTTGCTGAATTGAGGCCCTAGTAATGGATGTTTTGTATGTGATGAACCAAAATAGAATCTTGCAACATATAATTTTTTTTAATTTGACTTAAATTCTCCACCCTGTCACTAGAACAGAATTAAAAAGTAGAATAAAAAAAAGAACTGAAATAGCTCTTAACTTTTTTGCATTTTATAAACAACCTTAATCCAAATTTGTCTGCATATATTAGTGTACAAAAAAGCATACAATTTTCAGATGTCTTCTGTAGTATTCTCATGAAGTTTGACTAAGCTATTTTAAAACTTAATTTAAATATTTTTATTCAAAAGTACGTGATTATTTTATGCTACTTACAGGATATTTTTTACAGAATCAAAGAGCTGTTGATTTCTAATGTCTTGGCAATTGATTCTGTACATGGTGTCAACCAGGTAGGCTGCCATAGCTCCTTCTACATAGCACTGTAATATTTTAAAACCAGGTTGTGTCCCATTTTGTGTGAATGTTTTACAGCTGATGTAAACTTTACATTGTCTCTTCTTTTTCCAATTACTTTAAGATACTTTTATATCTAATTTTTGTGCTTTTTGTTTTAAACTGGGAAAGCAATTATCTTCCTTTGTGTGTGTGTGTGTGTGTGTGTGTGTGTGTGTGTGTGTGTGTGAGATTTGTTCTATATTCAGAAATGTGGTGATTTAGGTTTTAATATTTATACTCCTTTTGGTTTTTATCCTTTCATTTATGTGCCTATATAGTTAAATTAATTGTATGCTAATATACCGAAGTGGATTTTACCCTCAAAAGCTCATGATAGTATATATTTTTGTTAGTCTCTAAGATGTCACAGACTATTTATTGTTTTTAAAGTTAGATTAACATAGCCACCCCTCTGAAACTAACGTATTGAGTTTAGAATTGCTAACTTCTATGTCATTGTTGTCCTATTTTTATACTAATACGGTAACAGATTACTACTCATACAAGAGAAATGTTGTGTTGAACACAAAATTGGGTGCAGTTTCTTCTTTTTGTGCAATTCATATGTAATAAGCAATTCAAGATGTATTGTACCTGAATTTTTCTCAAAGAACAAACAAATGAGAAATCAAATACAAGGATTTTATTGGCTATCACATTACAGAGGTTTAAAAAGTGAAGGAAGTATCAGAGATAATGTTTAGGAAGAATGATGGACATTTGATGATACAATCTGTATACAATCTGTATCATGGTATTTTGGGTATCTCCCTAAACCTGGACACTCTGGTCCAGCAACATCCAGGGAACCCATGGCAGTCCCAGCTGGAGCTAGCAGTAGTGGGGGACCAAGGATCCTGGGCTCTATGCGGCGCTGCCACTTTGAACCGCCGCGAGGAGCCCGGCATCAGGCTCCATGCAGCATTTCAAGGAGTCCAGGGTGTGCAGTGCTGCTGCTTGGAAGCACTCCCTCCTCTGCCCCCCTCCCCCGCTGCCTCTTCCTGATAGAGGCACAAGGGGCAGGGGTAAACGACTAGTTGACTAGTATGTCAACTATCCGAGAAGCATTTGCTTATTGGATAGTCGACTAGTCGTTCACATCCCTACAGGAGACCTCTCCTGGTCTGGAAAATTCCCTCATTCGGGACTGATCATGTTCCGAAGGTGGCGGATCAAGGAGATCCAACCAGTAGCACTGTTTACATAGAGTTGCCAGCTATCTATTATGCTAGTCAAAGTAGTTAAGATACAGGAAATCACATTTTCACACACAAAAAATGGAATGTGAAACATCCTCATTCATTAACACAGAGTATATGCTGCTGGTCCTTTTTCTCCAAAAAGAGTGCCTTGTGTGACAAAGTAATATTTATGAAGAAATTTAGAAGAATGTGAAAATAGCTTCTGTGTCAGATATGGGCATCTACTGTCATGCAGAGCAGTTTCAGGGGTACTCTAAATACCACCTTTGGCAATGATTCCTCCCTCCTCAAAGGGCTACTCTGGGAGCAGGGATTGCTAGGGCCATCTACTTCTGTACATACTTCTGAGATAAGGGCCTTGAATGGTCTGGCATAGAACTTTAGATCCTCCTGTGCCAAAGAAATCCCTAGGTAACTGGGTCTGTAGCTGCTTTGCACCAGTTTACAGAGAGGATCTGGTCCTATACCACTGATAAGCTTCTATTATATCAAGGAGTACATGAACGCTATATTTCTGCCTTCTCACAGTGCAGTATTTCATTGCAAGACATCACACAATCACCAAAATGAACCATCCATGGTTATTAATTTTTTTATGCTGTAAAAATGTTACTGTGACATTTAATCTGGTCAGCCATCTTAAAGGTTAATTCTCTTTCCTGTTTCAGATTTTCCTCTTTTTTGTATAGTTCCTATTTACCTATTCCAAACAACCCACAAACTGTTTCACTGCTCACTCTCGCTGTTAAGAACATATTGACTTGCTGCCTGCTCTGTTGTTTAATTCATTTATGCTGAGAGTCAGGCATGAAGGCAGAATTTTAAATGTGACATTTGCAGGCTGTTGGGTCATCTGAAGCTCTGACAACGCCAGGGAATTCCTGACATACAAACCAGTCCTGATTTCCAATCTCCAATGTTATGAACACATCAGATATTCTTCCCGGAGGTGCAGATTTCAGCCAAAAATTTTAAAATCCCTTGTGCTTACATCTTGCAGAAAAGGCCTGTATACTTGAAAGTTTTAAAATAAAGCCCATGTTTCCTTTAAGCTAAAACTGGCATTGCCTGCAGAAAGCAATTCAATCACAAAAAACACTTTGTTTGACAAAGATATTTGGAAAGATGCACAATAACAATTAATACTCATAGGATATTCTCAGCAAGTGTGACATTAGGTGGACTTCCATTTTCTCCTGCTGATCTATCATGGTTCAAAGTTAATTGTGTCTGAAGGCCAGAACTGTAGACAATCTGCCATCTAGATAATATCAACATCTGGCCCAATGGGCCAGCAGTTAATTACTGCCATGATTAGAATGAAATACCTAAGGCAAAACTCTACCAACAGTGCTTTTTGCTGTGATAACAGCCATGCTGGGCGAGGAATAGAAAGTATGATGGCACAGCTTTAGTTGGAGATGGAAATGTTACTCAGACCTCATCCAGAAATACATTGGAAAGGGAAACAGTTTTCCCTGTTCAACTCTTTATTACAAATACACAGTGATAATGGTACTGTAGATTAGCTGCATTTTCAAAAACAGCAGGCATGCCTTGATTCGGGTCAAGATGTAATTTGAGAGAAATCAGGGAGGGAGAATTACAAACATTTTAACGGCACCCTCCGAGGAGTGAAGTGAGAATTCGTGTGTCATCCAGCAAACATCCTTTTATTACTGTTCTTTGAATAAGACTTTTATGATGCAATGGCTGTCATCTAAATAAGGATATAATGCTTGTGTGTGCCTGTAGCATAAGCTCATTGATTCTGTAAGATCTAACAAAAGTATTACATTTTAAGCATTATGAATCTTACTTATTCTGAAAATAAATACTTAAAACGGAAAGACATACCTGGTGTATTATCTGAGCTACAGGAAGCTGCTCAGCATATTTTAGTGGCTCAGTTGCCATCTCATCTTTTGGAACCCTGAAAATAAATGAAGTTCATATTATTAAATTTTCTTACAATTATTACAAACTACTGGAATTAAAAACAAAAACTATGTACTACCAGAGACTGTTTGAACTGTTACATTTAGAGGGAACAATGTTTTGTTTCAATATAATCAGAAAAATAAATCCCTGCCTTAAAATACTTTTAAAAACTAGAGAAAATAAGATAAATGAGTGTAACTAGAACTTGTGCATAAATCATGGCTAATTCAAACATTTATAAAGTTTAAAACCAGTATGTAGAAACCTGAGAAAATTTTTAAATGTTCTAAATGAATTCAGTGCTAGTGAAACAATCTTGCCTTGCCTCCCTGATGAATGAAGTCATATTTGTTTACAGAATAGGTGTGGCATTGGCAATGACTGTGCAAACTTCTCCATATGCTTCCACCAACATAACTCAAATGTAACACCATGAAAGTCAAGAGGATACATCATTCTTCCCTTCTCATCCAAAAATGCCAATCAGTGCCAGCTGCAATGGCAAGATTAGCAACACAACCACTTATCCACTTTTAACTGGAGTAAGATCTCCCACTGGCTACCCTGTTGATATGCTGCCGACACTGTCCACTAGGTTTCTTTGACATGAAACGCATACAGAGCAGTTTCTTATAGTAACAGAGAGAGACAGGTCCAGAAAGAAATATAGTTAGCATAAGATCACCTTAGGAAAGAAAAAGTTGAAGCTGATTAGCAGAGAAAACCATTCTGAGGAATACACTGGGCATGTCTACACTGGGGAGTTATTTCGACATAACAAGGCAAGCGTCCACACTACCAAACCTGTGATTTTGAAATAATGGGCTTGTTATTTGAAATTACTCTTACTCGTGAAGAGGAATCAGCTTATTTCAAGAGAGTTATTTTGGGAGTTGCTATTTCAAAATAACTCATTTTGAAATAACCTGGAAGTGTAGATGTAGCTAGTGAGTCTAAAACTGCTCAAATGTGTACACTCATGTACACTTCAAAGTGGATTTCAATCTTGGAGCCTCACTAACAGCTCCTTGCTCCTGAACCCCCAACTACCAACGATGGCCAGAAATACTCTCTCATTTTCTGCTAACCTGAACATCAAGCTCTTTCCTCTTTTACCAAACCGCCCTATAGGCAGGGTCCTACCAAATTCATGGTCCATTATGGTCAATTTCATGGCCATAGGGTTTGAAAATTGTTAGATTTCATGTTTCTAGCTGTTTTAACCTAAAATTTTATGGTATTCTAACCATGGGGACCCAAAAGGAGACCGGGGAGAAGCTTGCAGGCCTGTTGTAGGGAGATTCTAGGATTGACACTCTTACTTCTCTGCTGCCTTAAGAGGCAAACTCTGAAGTCAGCAACCACAGAGCTTCCTGCAACCACAGGAGTTTCCAAGAGGCAGAAGTGGGTCTGATCTCCCCTGTGCTGCTGAGAGCACCCAGCTAGGGGCTCCTCACTGCTAATCCTGGCTGGTTTGGGAGGGACAAAATTTGCTCTCTCTGCACAGCTGCAGAAAGTGCTGCCCACCTTGTCCAACATTCAAGCTGCAGGAACCTCAGGCTGCTGCCCAGTCCCAGACAGGATCCTACAGCAAGGGGAGGTACCCGGAAGCAGATCTGTCTGGTCTTTCCTCGCCCCCAGAAGCTATGCAGGAGATAGACAGGTCCTGTCCTTCCAATGCCCATTCCAAGCAAGGAAGCCCCTTTTGATGGGGCACTCCCAGGATCACAGGGAAGATACGACCCAATTCCATGAGACTCCTTCAGCTGCAGGAACCTCAGGCTGCTGACCAGTCCCAGATAGCATCCTGCAGCAGGAGGCAGCACCCATAGCTGGGTCTGGTCTGGTCCCCCTCCCAATGCCAAAGCAATTTGTAGGGGAGGGGCAAGTTCTGGTAGAGCCCTAGCTATAGGCTACCAATGCTTTGGTTACTTCTTGGTTGGAGAAACAGTCTGCCTTAGACTGAAACCTAAGCTGCTCAGTCCCTTCATCTAGTGCATATTGCAGCTGTGTATGTCTCTAAGGCCTGGTCTATGCTAGGAGTTTAGTTGAACTTAGCCACATTAAGTCAATTTTATAAACAATGAGTCATAGAATCATAGAGCTGGAAGAGACCTCAGGAGGTCATCAAGTCCAGCCCCCTGCCCACAGGGCCGGACGGAGGCATGGGTGAGCTGGGCAGCTGCCCGGGGCACCAACCAATGGGGGGTGCCTCATGGCAGCTGTAAGGGGCGCGTGGCATCCCTTACAGCTGCCATAAGGAACTGCATGCCCGGCTCCCACAGTGCCGGCCCCGCGGCGCCAGCCAGCAGCACCCATCCCCCCATGGTTGCGGGGTCCTGCACGGCCCAGTACGTGCGCTAGCAGCAGTGGCCGGGCCAGCCTGGGCAGCTCATGCACCATGCACCCCGGGGGCGGGCCCTGGGCTGTGCGCCAGCGGCTGTGGCCAGCCCGTGCATGCACCGTGAGCCTGGGGTGCCAAAAGGCCTTGGGATGGCCCTGCCTGCCCAAGGTAGGACCAATCCCAACTAAGTCAACCCAGCCAGGGCTTTGTCAAATAGAGACTTAAACACCTGTAGGGATGGAGATTCCACCACCTCCCTAGGTAACCCATTCCAGTACTTCACCACCCTCCAAGTGATACAGATTTTCCTAATATCCAACCTAAACTTCCCCCACTGTAACTTGAGACCATTGCTCCTTGTTCTGCCATCCATCATGACTGTGAACAGCCTTTCTCCATCCTCTTTGGAACCTCCCTTCAGGAAGTTCCAGGCTGCTATCAAATACCCCCTCACTCTTCTCTTCTGCAGACTAAGCAAACCCAAATCCCTCAGTCTCTCCTCATAGGTCATGCACTCCAGTCCCCTAATCATTTTGGTCACCCTCCGCTGGACCCTCTCCAATACGTTCACATCCTTTCTATAGTGGGGAGCCCAGAACGGGACACAATATTTCAGATGTGGCCTCACCAGAGCCGAATAAAGGGGAATAACCACTTAACTGGATCTGCTGGTAATGCTCCTCCTAATGCACCCTAATATGCCATTAGCCTTCTTGGCTACAAGGGCACACTGCTGACTCTCATCCATCTTCTCATCCACTGTAATCCCCAGGTCTTTTTCTGCAGAACTGCTACTTAGCCATTCGGTCCCCAGCCTGTAAAAATGTTTGGGATTCTTCTGTACCAAGTGCAGGACTCTGCACTTACCCTTGTTGAACCTCATCAGATCTCTTCTGTTCAGGTCACACTGGACCCTATCTCTTCCCTCCAGTGTATCTACCTTCCCCCTAGCTTAGTATCATCTGCAAACTTGATGAGGGTGAAATCCATCCCCTTGTCCAGGTCATTAATAAAGATATTGAACAAAACTGGTCCAAGAACTGATTCTTGCGGCGCTCCACTAGAAACCGACCGCCAACCTGACATTGAGCTGTTGATCACTACCCGTTGGGCCCGACAATCTAGCCAGCTTTCTATCCATCTTACAGTCCATTTATCCAATCCATACTCCCTTAACTTACTGGCAAGAATATTGTGGAAGACCGTATCAAAAGCTTTGCTAAAGTCAAGGTATATCACATCCACTGACTTTCCTATATCCACAGAGTCCACACCGTCAAGCACGTTCCATCAACCTTAAGGGCCGATAAAGTTGATTTTTGTACTCCTGCTTTCACAAGTAACTGCTAAATTTGACTTTGCATGGTCAACTTTGCAGTACTGCAAACACAATACTTTGAAAGTTAACATTCTTGACCACTGCTAGGTGTCACACAGTGCCCTATGGTGACAGCTCTGCCCACGACTTTCAACTCTACTGATCTCCAGGTGAACAGGAAAAGCCCCAAGAAAATCTGAATTTCATTTCCCGTATGGTGAGCAGACCTCAGACACCTAAGCAGCACACCTGACCATGAGTTCAATGAGTTTCCAGGATCACAAACAAGCCCAGCATGGAGCATACAGGAGATCCTGGACCTCACTGCTGTGTGTGGAGGGGAATCTTCTCTCACAGAACTATGAATCAGCAAAAGAAATATAGATATCTATGCCAAGATTGCAAAGGATATGGAGGAGAAAGGATGCGCCAGGGAAGCCCAGTAGTGCTGAGTAAAAATAAAGGAGACAAAGGAAACAAACAGATGGTCTGGAGCATCACCGCAAACATGGCACTAATATGAGCAGCTGCATATGATCTTTGGGGAGGACCCGACCAGCTTCCCTAGCCAGTCTGTGAATTCCTCCCAAGGTACCAATGGCAAACATCTTTTTATGCCCTTTTTTTCCTTAGTTATTTGTGCAGATGCCATAGCAGCATAACCATGGAACCCGCTGTGGATCCCAGAAAGCATCAAAGTATTATGATGTTTTTAATCTTGGTGCGCCTAATGATGGAGTATGTCCAGACCATATTCATGGTCTGCTGGAATGAGGAAGAATCTCAGAAATCCATGAACATACCCTTCTGCAAAGCACTTGGGTTGAGTAACTGGCATATGCCACCAGCACTCAATCCTCTGGTACACCATTTCTAGTGCCTTATGGTATAAGGTCAAATTTATTAATGTTGACTTTTTAGCATCCAGTTTTGTAAAGTTGAAGGTGCATGTCCCTACTGTGCGCAAGAATTCGATAAAGTTCAAAGTAGCATGTCTCCAGTAGGGTGGCTGTCATTGATTTTGAGAGCAGTACATTTTGGGATTTTCATTTCAGTTGGAGGGAAAGACTGGGGTAGTCTCTTTTGGAGCTATATGCTGCAACAATTCTTGGTACAAAAGCTACTCAGGGCAGAAGAATTAGAGTAGTCAGAGTAATACACACAATCATTGTGTGATTTGGGGGAAATAACTCCAGTGAGTATGCAAATCCTTATCCTCTGATTGGCTAGCTATCATTATTAGCCCACAAGGATATAAGGATCTGCATCCGGTACAGTCACTAAGAAATAGACACAAGCCAGCGGTGGGATCGTGCGGAGAGCTGGGAAG